AAAAAAAAACCCATGTGGCATTCGTACTGCTGCTCGCAAGTCCTTGGATCTTTCCAGACGGAGCGATCGCAATCGCCTACAGCTTTGGTTATCTGCAGGTACCATCGCCGAACATCCACGTTCCCTCGATGGAACACTAGTGGAGATGATCAGCGACCGCATGAATCGCCTAATTATGCGATGAATTGCAAAACTCGTCGTAATCCTGTCCTATCGGTCGAATTCTCGCTAAGCAGCTTCTAAGAACAAAGAGACCAGGTTGAGAAATTCGCAATTTCGCGTGATGTTAGCGGAAATGAGTGGTTGAGAGATGGCTGGCCTGTACGCTGAAATCCTGTTGACTTTGGTCCCAAAAAGGTTTAGAAAAGCCACCAGAGAGATCCTTCGCAGCTCACAATGTTGCTGATTGGTTCATGAGAGGTAGCATATCCGAAGGCTTTGTTGTCCTAGCACGCACCAAAGGTTACATATATGTTTAAGGAAGTGCCTGGAAAGGTTTGGAGTGTCCTTCTATTAGGCGAACTAAGCGCACTAAATGATGATAACTTGAATTTCTCTTTTTTTAAGTTTTGATTTTACAAAGTAACTGATGAATGATTTTATTATTCAAATAAATTATGTTGATTGCATCGTGAACACTACGTACAACAATGACGATCGGATAAGAACCACGGCACGACGTAAACTGACATCGTCTACCGTATCCGAGCCGTTCGTCGTGGAAGCAACAAAACCGTTTAACGGCGAGTTCCATCCTCGAAGAACACTCCACCATCGATAGCGCAGTATTTGGGGCAGATACCCTTCTCTCCACCAGTTCCAGCTGGTCCAGGTGGTCCGGGTGGTCCTGCTTGTCCGTCGACTCCAGGAGGTCCGTCGGGTCCGGGGGCTCCCTTTGGTCCTGCTGGTCCTGGAGCTCCATCGGCTCCGGGTGCTCCTGGTGGTCCAGGTGGTCCAGGTGCTCCTGAAAAAAAATTACGATCAATCAACCGGGAAGACTTCTGACGAGACATGGTCCCAAACATTTACTAACCAGCATCTCCGGGCTCTCCGGGTGCTCCGGGGGTAAGTGGCTCGCTCTGGGCTGGTGATCCAGGTTCTCCAGCAGGTCCAGGTTGTCCAGGCTCTCCAGGTGGTCCGGGAGGTCCACGGGGTCCGGGTGATCCTGGGGCAGCGTCAGTTCCTGGTCTTCCAGGGGTACCAGCCTCTCCTGGGTCTCCAGGAGATCCGGGTGGTCCAGGTGGTCCAGGTGGTCCCTGTGGGCAAGGCTTGCATGGTGGTGGAGTGGTGGGCTCACATGGGGCAGTAGGTGGCTTTCCGGGCACTCCGGGGGTTCCAGGTGCTCCTGGACGTCCGGGCTTTCCTGGCTT